GGTGGAGGACGATGGCTCTTGGGTTTAATGGGATGCACTTTAAAAACGGATATAACCATCTATTTTCACATGCTGCTATTTAATGGACTAGAAGATGGCATAGGCTAGAACTTACAATTGGCTGAGTAAAGCTTCAGTCTTCCACTGCGCTGAAAGAGAAGACACAGGAAAGGCACATGAGGGAGGCTTTTACAGAGCACACCAGACAGTAAGCACTTTACTGGGTAAAATTCAGTTGTATCACTTTATTTTATGCCAAGAAGAACAAAGATATATCTGACTTTATGCTTAAAAAGCAGAAGTACAGATTTTTCGTAAGCAACGGGTGGTCTTTAATATTATAATTATTTGTATTTTTTACACTAAAGTGCTACATTCACATGGGTTATTGTCCTTAGCTAAGCAGAGGTTACCTGGGAGGTTAAATAATGATAAGGGCTTCCTGTTATAAGGAATTGTCATGCTCAGTTGTCGGTGGCTGTCAAGGTCTGCGGTTTTGTGTGCCCTCTGCTGACACCGTGGAAGCCACTGAAGGGCTTGCGGTAGGTAGGTGACAAAACTGAATGCAAGTAAAGCAGAGTCTTGAAAGTATTGACGTTGTGGTTAGAGTAATTGATGCAGAGGTACAGGGAAGAGGGACAGACATTGACTAAAGAAGCAAATGGAATTCTTAGCCCATAGTGTTTGTTTGCTAGAGTATATTGCAGTTGGCTTGTTTATACACTTTAATAGTTGCCATTTCTAAACTAAACATATTATTTATGAAATTTTATTTTAGGTTCATTTATCTTATTTTATGTTTGTGATGTTTTGCCTGCATTTATGTATCTGTATGTCTGGTGCTCTCAGAGCTCAGAATAGGGTGTTGGATCCTGTGCTGGCTGATTTTGTCAACTTAACACAAATCTAGACAGATCTGGGAAGAGGGAATCTTAACTGAAAAAATGCCTGCGTAAGATTGGCATGTAGGCAAGTCTGTAAGGCTTTTTCTTTTTCCTCTTTCTTTTCTTTCTTTTTCTTTCTTTCTTTCTTTCTTTCTTTCTTTCTTTCTTTCTTTCTTTCTTTCTTTCTTTCTTTCTTTCTTTCTTTCTTTCTTTCTTT